ATATATATATATATAAAAACAACCCACTGCCATCAAATTGGATCCGATTCATAGTGACCCCTCCTTGGGCTTCCAAGGCACTATCACTACGATAGGATATTGCCCAACCTTCCTTCCAAGGAGTGGCTGGTGGGTTTGAACCACCAGCCTTCTGTTTAGTAGTCAAATGACTTAGGCACTAGGCCACCAGAGCTCCCTCCATAGTGATAATGCCTCAGAAACCCAAGGAAGAGTTGCTATGAGTTGGATACGACTCAATGGCAATAAGTTTGTTTTTTTCTTTTTCTGCAGCATCATATATAAAAATTCACTCTCCTTTGTAATTCATAACATAATACATGTAATTTTTTCAAATGTCAACTCTAACTGGTTTTTATCTATAAGAATTATAATTGTTTTAATATTAATTTGAGGGCAGATTTCCTAAATCTTATTATAATTCTAATTATTAACTTATTTTTCCAGTAAATGTGTTGTCCTATTATTTTTGAAATAGTAATAATTCTCCAAATTATCTCTTAAAATGTTAAAAATGAGCAGTAATACCTCAGAAATACAAAATTTTAAATTTGTACATAATTGAAACTAAATTTGTTTAGTATATTTGGAATGGGTATCTCAAAAGTAAGTTTTCTTAAATTAAAATTGAAGTTTCCAACATTTAGTTCAATTGATTTTTCCCCATACTTATAAACATACCACAATAACTTCAATTGATATTGTCACATATAGCCTAAAATTTACTCTTTTACTTCAACACACTCAAACTAGATATGTTTGAAGGTATCCATTTCTCAATGCCTTGGAAAAAATAAAACACTACATTCATAAACAAAAACTACAAAAGTATATTCTAATGGAAAAGTTATTCCATGTAATAAACAATATCATTAAATTCACTCACAATAAAATATTTGTTTTTTCTTTCTTTTAATGATCCAAATCTATAGTGAAATGATGAAATTGAAAAACAAGTGTTCTTGTCAGAAGACAGGAAAAGAGTTTTTTTCCCCTCCCTTAAGGAAAACAAAGGATTCCTGAAAGCTTTGCCCTGATTTATTTTTCCAATTTTAAATACCTTAAGAGTAGCGGAACTGCTACTGGCATGGTAGTATTTCTAACAGTCAATAAATCTAAAATATTATGTGTGAATATTGGAATGAAGCCATTAAGAAGATTACAGCATGCAACACAGCAGAGGGTCCACAGGAAAAAAGAACTAGTAATTCAGGACAACTGTGACCACTGACCTTTGAACAGCCAAGACCACTGGTCAATCTGACACAATAATAGAGTGCACATGCATAGAAAGTCATCTAGCCTGTAAGTATAATTTAAATGCTTTGGTGAATGATTTTAAAAGGGCTCTATTTAAATCTCAGTTAATCTATTAAACAATCAGACAATACCAATAGTAGTATTTTCAGGCTTCAATTATACTTTATTAATTCAAATCACATAAAAAAATTTAGTAGAATTATTTGTGATGTTAATGTCTCATTTAAAACATTAACATTTGTAGAAAACATGATGTGATGCTTTAATACAAATCCTCCAAAACTATGAGCTGGTTTTTGGAATGTTTTAATCAACTAAAATATTTTTAGAAAATGACTGTAACTTTAAAGCACCTTATACTTTCAGTAAATGGTCCTAGCTTTGCTTCAGAGCTATATCAATTTGTTCATTCTTCAGATTTGTTGGTAAGTTTGTGGCCTTTGATTACAAGCATATATACTGTCATATATATACCACTTTGCAATGTTTTTTCAATATATACTTTCGAATATTTTAGTAATGTTTTAATATAAAGATTCTTATGAGTAAACCAACAGATACTTCCCCTGTCATTTTATGTATCCAGACTTTTATACTTTTGGAATACTGTTTCCTTCTCTAGATAACTAATAAATGTTGTAATTATCAATGTAATTCTACATCTCAACTTAATAAAGTCACCTATCCAAAGAATGAAATTTAAAAGGCTGTTTTTTCTCAAAGAAAGACCCATCTATCATTAAGCTGACTGTAAAATTTTTAATAGTATAAACCCAAAAGCTGGATTTGTTTCTTCATATTCTTTTCTCTTTTTTCTCTTCGCCTTCATTTTTTTTTTTTTTTTAAATAAACTATCTTCCTTCCTAAGGGTATTAACAGTAGAAAATACATGCACATATGGAATACATTCTTAAAAGTTGGAACTGTATTTTCACTAATTATTTCTATATCCAGTGAAGAACACTTTGATGAATTTCTAAATGGGTAACTCTAATCATTTTTAGCAGCTTCTGCAAAATTTTTATAATGAAGCAATCAAGTTATAACGAGCTAAAAAGATAATGTAATTGTTCACTGGCCTGAGTTTGGGGTTGTTCACACATAATATAAATTTTACTACAGCAAAATAAAATAGCTCAATTTTAATTTGCTACAAGGTCAGAAAGCACTTACACTATTTATGGACATAAATAATCTGACTGTGACTTTAAAATCATATTTTTCCTATCACTAGTCTATAAGAACAATCAAGGTTAGTATTAATGGATTTTTGGAGTTTGAGATGTTTAAATTCACTTCTTCAAATGTTTTAATAATGAATTTCAAAAATACTTGTAATATTACCAAAGAATATATTCTGATGGTTTTTTTAATTCCCAAATTTCACAATCCTTGAAAATAATGGGGATTTTTTTTAAAGGGGAGGTTATTTTAACTTAGAATTGTACTATAAAGATAATTTTAAATAGCTATTAAAATATACAGGAACAGTACTACTCTGCATTCCTGCTCTGTACTATGGAATAACAAGAACCAAAAAAAAAAAAAATGCACTTTTGAAGACTATTTAACATGAAATACAGAATATGTCCCATTATAAGCTGAAGACACACACACACACACACACACATACACACACACAAACCCTCTGTAAGATCAAAGACCAGGAGAGAACTGGCACTTAATTTATCAGCCTTTACAGACAAAAGACAGTTTTCGTCATTTCAAAAGGATCAGATGTCTTTTATGACAAACTGGGTTTGCAGTTTAATTTACAAATAGAATTCTAAGTAAGCAGTCTTTGCTCTGCCAAAGCAAATGACAAACAGTGTAGGTTTTCATTCTTACGGCCCTCAGCAGGATAGAAAAGATTAAAATAAAACTGAAATAATTTAGAGAAAACAAATAAATGTTTCAGAAAGTTGAGGGAGATCAAAGCCAGAATTTTCTGACCCCAACTGTACAAGCATTTCTTATTATATTGACCAGTGCCATCAGATCATTAATTAAAAGGAAAAGCGCTGGCAGGTGGCAGGGAAGCAAAAGCCGATAATTGGCCCCCTTCTTCTTCTTGCCTTCAAAAACTCTCTCATTCTTTTGCAAGACATGCCACTAGGCAGACAGAAATGCCTACTTTGTAATATAATGATTAAGATGAGATGAAGAGACTTACATTTAAAGAAGCTCTCCCTAATGAATGCATCTAGCTTTTTAATTATGATCCTACTTTTACAATAAGGAATATGATGTACCATTCAACATCTCCTCAACTGCCAAAAGGTAAAAATATTAAATATAGAATCTGCACTGATTCCTCTCACACCCCAGGCACACACCCAATCCTTTTATTTTAGACAAAAAAAAAAAAAAATTGGAAATTTGTAATTCAAGGGTCCAGGAGAAAACATTTACATTGTCACTACAAAATATCCTTCAGACTTACCACATCACTTGGTAGGTTGCTCAAGTCATTAAATGGTGATTCTAAAGTGTTTGTGTCAACATTTAACATAACCACATCTTCCAATGATTTATTTTTCACTCTCTGTTTAAAAAACACAATTGTGAATTAGCATCTTAGTATATTTTCTTAATAAAACTATAATAAATTGCAACCAGAGGAAATTATCTTAATGCACTAGTCATGGGAAAAGAAAAAAGGAAAACCCTACATTATAAAATAAATACAAATAACTTCACCTTCTCTGAGAGGAAGTTCAAAAAGATGATTTGGGACAAAATGCTTAAAACAGAATGCTTGCTCATTTAAACATACTTAGTTTGGAGATAGAGATTTATAATTTAACGTTCAAGAAAATATTACAACAAAGACCTATAAAACAGACATAGCTAAACCAAACTGAAAAAACTTCTATAAAATTTACCAACTGAATCTCAAGTCTAAGGTAATAAGAATCTGCTCTTTATCTACTTTTAGCATAAATCATATTATAATTCTAACATAAACCAGTAACTCTGACTATAGCATTAAACTGCTAACTTTTAAATTAATCTTTTATATTTTGCATATGAATAGGTACAAGCTGAGGATGAAGAATAAAAGTTTAACATTAAAAAATGACAGAGAATATGGAATTTGTTGCTAGTAAAATGACTCACAGTAATTTCAAAATAAAGGATCAAATTTATAACCTATCAGACTGACTATTCTGACTTGTAGGACAGTTTGGTGAAAATGGTCAAATTATTTGAGTATGTAGACAAATTAAACTAAATTAGAATTTCATCATTTTTTTACCCTTAAATAAAAGAAATACTTTATTCTTCCTCTTTAAATCAACATTTAACTTAAACCACAACATTCCAGTAACCTTATTTAAATGACAACAAATAGTACTATTCTTTAGTGCAAATAAGTAATGTGCTCATTAATAAAATATTTTTACCAACCCATAATACCATAATAGTATAGGTCAACTAGCCACAGGTCAATTAATTAATGTTACTATTGTATTTTCTAAAGTAATATCCTCAACAGACACTTTTTTAAAAATAAGTTGTTAAATGCTTTACATATTTTAATTGGCTAAATCAATTATTTTGAGTTGGTCAGGACTGAAATTTCTCTGATCCATTTAGAATTTGAAACCTGTGCGTATTAGAGCTAGAATGTTAAACTTTGCTAGGGAAGGGTAATCTAGTAAGAGGAAGTTCTGTGTGTTAGGAAAGCCACACAGTCTGGGTAGAGTGTGGATCCTCAGGAAAACACAGGATTCTAAAAATCTTGTAAAAGACATTACAATTATTCTAAAGTAAGACTTAAAAGATACTCCATTCCTAAGATAATCACTTATAATAGTGATAACATTACAAAAATATTCATAAATACACTCATTTCCTTCTCTTTCCATGTGTATGAATGTGATATATATACATGTAAAAAAAGTTTAAATATAAAAATATAGGTTATCTTTAAGTTAACTATAAAATAATTATAAAAAAAACTTATTCTACCAACAAAAAAAATATATATTAATGGCATTTACATGGAGAAATGTATGTCATAATTTTAATATTCATCTTTAATTCTAAAGTGTCCCTATGACAGAAACTGGGAAGGTAATAATGATGAAATTTTTTACATATAAAAAAAGCTGATGGAATTTTTAAGGGATAAAATAAGTTAGCTTAAGCCTAGAAAAATGGCCATATGTCCCCAAAATGTTTGTAGTGACACTAGCACCAAACTCTGAACAAAGGAAACTGATACTAAAATGAAATTTGTATTTTTTCAAAGCTGCTCTTAACTTTTAAAAGTTTGATAATAGCTAAATATTAAATTTAGTTCAGAGAGCCACACAATAAGAATGGGAAAAAAATGTTCAATAAATTAAGACTCCTTTGGAATGACAGTAACTCTACATATACAAAAAAGTAACAACAACAGTATATAATTTAAATAATTGTTAAAGAAAATTTAAACTACTGTCAGTATTTTATGTACTTTATCCCATGGCATCAGGCTTTAGCTTTTTATTTTTCCCCCTAAACAGGAGTGGAAACTCAGATGGCATATAAAAGGGTACCTCTTTCTGTGTCTCATATTTCCGTATCTCTTAAAATTCATACTTGTTTGAATGAGGAAAGAGTGAGGAGTATTGGAAAAAAATGTCTTTTTCTTCAAAAGCAAGATTAAAATACTAAGGCAAAGATTGAAATGCTTGTAAGAACAAACAAACAAAAAAAATAGCTGTTACTAAGTTGATTCCAACTCAGGAGATCCCATGTATCAGAGTAGAACTGGACTCCACAGAGCTTTCCACGGCTGATTTTTTGGAAGGAGATCCCCAGGCCGTTCTTCTAAGGTATGCCTGGGTGGACTCGAAACTTTCACCCTCAGGTTAGTAGCTGGACACATTAACCATTTGCAATATCCAGGAACTTCATAAGACAAACAGTAAGGTATTAAAGTTTATAGTTTTTCTCATGCACATTCTATCTAATCCTTCTGTACAGAGTAATTATAAATGTGTATCGTGCACTTTAATGCAAAGAAATGACACAATGGTAGCAATCACATGATCTTCTGAAATTGGGACATTTCATTTAGAATCTTTTACATATTGAAATAAGTAAGATAATTCTCACAGATGTAGCAAAATAAATAAATAACTTACTACATTGTAGCATCTACTAAATTATTCCTAATTATTTATATGCATTGGTCTGCTTTGAGTTCAAACTTAAAGCCTATTGAAGTACCTTCATTCTTTATTTTATAATCAAATTTATATTTTAAAGAAAGGATTTCTAGCCATCTTTTACTCACAACTACATTAAAAGGTAAACAAAAAAAAAAAAAAAGGGAGAGATTTCAAAGGACATTCATTTCACATATCTTTGAAAAATAAGGGTTAGAATTATTTATACAATTGATTAAATGTGTTGAAACTGTTTTGACCAAAAGGGAAACACTATAAGAATATTTTGATTCTTTGTTTGGGGGGAAAAAAAAAGGAATTGGTTGTGATTGCAGCCAAACAAAGCCCAAAAATGTAAGCTTAGTTCCACTATTACGTAAACATCTGTATTTCAAGTATAGGAACATTTTTATTAAACACAAAAGCAAAAATGATAGATATTTTAGTGCAAATAAAAAATTCTGCCTAATAAAGACACAATAAGAATGAAATTGTAGGATGTACATCATCTTGTAACACATTAAGGAGAATGTTACTAAATGCTCCTTGGTTAAAATAATTTCTCAAGGTCCTAGTATACCTTTTCATTCACTACTAAATGAAATAAAGTTGACTATTAAGACAGCTTGAATGTCTATGGTACAATTATAGAAGTACAGAAATTGCAGTCAATCTAATCATGACTTGGCTGTAAACACTTCTACTTAATAATAGGAGTCAATTTCAAGTTAGACTGGACCTTTCTCCAAGACAGTAATTTTCCCCATAAAAAATGTACTGACTTTCTCTATAGATTCCAAAATATATGTGACAAATTTAATTAAATATTTAAAACAGTATTTTGGAAAGTTGATGTAGAATCAGGATGCCAAAAAAAAAAAAAAAAAAAAGAAAAAAAGCAGTATTAGGAGTACTCGTCAACATTTTTTATCCCCATAAATAGAAAGATATAATATAGAAAGCATATATCCTACCACCAAACCAAAAACCAAACTCACTGCCATCAAGTCAATTCTGACTCATAGTGACCCTCTTTGGGTTTCTGAAGCTGTAAATCTAT